TGTGTGTGTGTGTGTGTGTGTGTGTGTGTGTGTGTATGTGTGTGTGTCTTATAATAGATTTAAATGCATATATGATGATGAGCAACTGTGTGTCTGCCTGTGTCTGTGTGTGTGTGTGTGTGTGTCTGTGTGTGTGTGTGTGTGTGTGTGTGTGTGTGTGTCTTATAATAGATTTAAATGCATATTTGATGATGCACAAGTTGCTGTTTCAGCAACTCTGTGCTTCAACAGAAGGCTTCAGAGTCTGACTGGTCTTAAGGTTGTGTGTTTTCTGGGCCTGACCGTTTGCTTAGTCATGAAATAACTGTGTGAAAGGTTACATTCCTCATAAGTTATTTAAACCAGATAATGTCCCCATATGTCGCATAAAAATAACATGTGATCAAAATGTTGCTCTAGCCAAAATCAGGGTCAGGGTTAGGGTTAGGTTGAGGGTCAGGGTTAGGGTCAGGGTTAGGACATCGTTTGTTTTCCGATTTCGTTTAGACAGTAAAGTTTCGTTTCCACCTCAGAAAGCTGCTAGTCACATGACCTTTTCAAAATGGCCGACTTGGATGTGGGAGGAGTTGGATATCCAACGAGTGACCGGCTGAGTCATGATCCTCTGAGAGGGTTCAGGTAGACGGGAGCCGTCCCTTTAACCCTTTAAAGCCTGATCCAAGAGTAAAACAAAACAGAAAATTACTTTTTTGTTTGTTTGAATTCCTTATTTGTCCTTTTAACAAAATATGTAAAAAGAAAAAACAGAAATACATTTTTAATATTAATAATTTATTACTACGCGATAAGTCAAGATTATTTTTTGTGTAGTCTTCTGCCCCCTGTTATCAGGTGTATCTGATTGTGTACAATAGGATTTTGAACAAAGTTTTTACCATTAAATTATGCAAAAGGTGTCAGACGCAAAACATTTCAGAAACCGTATGAATCAAATATGATACATTTGGCATTATAGGGTTAAGGGACTTTTTTAGGCCAGAATTAGGGACTGGAACCTGGGATTAGGGGAGGAGCCCCGACCCGGCTCGGCTGGTTAGGGTTAGGGTTAGGGTTAGGATCAGGGTTAGGGTTAGGGTACCTGTGGATCTGAGAGCCTGACCCCTGACCCCTGACCCCTGACCTCTGACCCCTGACCTTTGACCCGCAGGTCCCTTCTGCAGCGTGCTGGTGGAGAGGTTCGGTTGCCGGGCGACCGTGATGTTCGGCGGCGTGCTGAGCGGCGTGGGGATGGCCGCCAGCTCCTTCACGCGCTCCATCACCGAGCTCTACATCACGGCGGGGGTCATCACAGGTCAGCACGCTCCCGGTTGCCATAGCAACGCACAGCCGTCCACCAAAGCAAAGTGTTTTTCAACCTTTTTTTTGGAGCAAAGGTACATTTTTTCATAGAAAAAAATCTCGAGGCACACCACCAACCAAAAATGTTAAACAAATCTGTAGCCGCCTATAGTAACACTATAGTTATTCTTATCTTATTCTTATCTTATCTTAAGTGTCTTGAATAGGAATCAAATAAACACAAAAATGTATTTTTATCATATTTTATATTTCTTCTTTCAAATTGCACTTAACATGCCCACTTCAATATACAAAATTAAATACAATATCTAGTCATAAGGAATTATTACATGATTACTCCACCAGTCACTAGTACAGCACAGACACTCAAAAATGGCACATCATTTGCAGATAATTCATTCCTTATCAAAAAATCTTTTTAGACCAATTAGGTGAAACAGGATGATTTTCTACACACTAGTGTGGCGAGGCACAGTGGTTGAAAAACACTGCACTAAAGGGCCGCGGGGCCGGGGGAGGACGAGCAGCAAAAGCTGCCCTTTTTATTCCACTAAATCTGCCAAAAAGCTCAATAATAATGCAGATTTTTAAAAAAATATATTATTTTTATTGAAAGATTTTTAAGTATAACAGTCCAGCTTGCGGAATTTAATAAAAAAAGGACAAAGATTGGCACACAAACTCAATAAAACAAGCAGCTCCAGGCCAAACTTGAACAAATGATAGAATCTCAGTTTTTACCAAAGTGATTGTATCCCAGATCATGTTTTTCCATAAAGAAAACATTTTCATCACTGCTTTTCTGGGCACCATGAGGAGAATTGTATTTATTTTATTTTTTAACCTCTGTTTAATATCAAATCTGTTCAATAGAAAAGCTCTCAAACTGTCTACTTTTGAGTCTTAATCGGGTGGAAACCTTAACTAAAAGAGCAGAACTTTGGTTTTGACCCACTCCTTCGGCCTCTTTACAGCATATCTAATAGTTTTCCCTCCTCCTCCTCTCCCCCAGGCCTGGGCTTCTGCTTCAGCTTCCAGCCGGCGGTGACCATAATGGGGCACTACTTTGTGCGGCGGCGGACCTTCGCCAACGCCATGTCGTCCACGGGCACGGCTCTGGGCCTGTGCACGCTGCCCTTCCTGGGCAACTTCCTGCACGCCGAACTGGGCTGGAGGGGAAGCTTCCTGGTGCTGGGCGCCGTGCTGCTCAACTGCTGCGTTTGCGGCGCCGTGATGCGGCCTCTGCACCGTCGCCACGGCAACGGCGGCCACCCACTGATGAACCACGGACCTCCTCTGACTTCTCCTCCACCTCCGGATCCGGGAAAAGGCCGGATTAAGGCCCTGTGGAGGCGCTTAATGGCGTCCGCGGGCCGCCACATGGCGTTCGACCTGCTCCGCCATAACCGGCGCTACCTGGCGTTCGCGGTGGGAATCACCTGGATGATGCTGGGCTTCGTGGTGCCGCTGGTCTACCTGGTGCCCTACGCCACGGCGGGCGGGATGGAGCCGGGCCGCGCCGCCCTGCTGCTCTCCATCCTGGGCGTGGTCAACATCGTGGTGCGGCCCCCCGTGGGCGTGGTCTTCAACACGCCGCGCTTCCGCGGGCGCCACGTGTACGTGTTCGCCGCCGCGCTGCTGGTGAACGGGCTCAGCAACGCCGTGTGCTGCCTGGGGCCCGGGTTCGGCGTGCTGCTGGGCTACGTGGTGACCTACGGGCTCTCCATGAGCGTGGTGGGCTCGCTGATGTTCACCGTGCTCATGGACATCGTGGAGATGAGCCGCTTCCCCTCCGCCCTCGGGCTGCTCGCCGTCATGGAGAGCGTCACCCTGCTGATCGGACCCCCGCTGGCAGGTGAGGCCACCAGGGCAGGATCAGTTTAACCAGTAAAACCTGCGGGATCAGGCCACCGACCAGCCTGACCAGTAAAACCTGCTAGAAACAGCAGAGTATCTGAAATGTTCTCCGAACTGCAGCAAAAAAATTTGTACATTTTAGTTCTGAGTGCTTCAAAGGAGCAGCCTAACTGAGTAAAACCTGCTAAAAAATTTTTTATTCCTAAGTGCTTCAAAGGAGATAAAAGCTCCTCAGACCATCTTAACCGAGTAAAACCTGCTAAAAAAATGCTTTTACCAGATGCTCACCCACAGAGTATCTGATAAATTATCAGAAATAGCAGCAAAAAATGTGGAAATTTTAGTTCTGAGCAGGTAAAACCTGCAAAAAAACACAGAATATCTGAAATGTAATCAGAAATGGCAGCAAAAATTTTTATTCCTAAGTGCTTCAAATGAGATTCCAGCTCCTCAGACCAGCTTAACTGAGTAATTCTTGATAAAAAAATGTTTTTACCAGATGCTCAGCCACAGAGTATCTGACAAATTAGCAGAAATAGCAGCTAAAAAGTTTATTCCTAAATGTTATCCAAACGGCAGCAAAAAATGTGGCAATTTTATTTCTGGGTACTTCAAAGGAGCAGCTTAACAGAGTAAAACCTGCTTAAAAACCGCAAAGTATCTGAAATATTATCCAAATGGTAGCAAACAAATGTGGAAATTTTAGTTCTGAGTCCTTCAAAGGAAATTCCAGCTCCTCAGACCAGCTTAACTGAGTAAAACAAGCTAAATAACCGCAGAGTATCTGAAATGTTATCCAAACGGCAGCAAAAAAATTTGGAAATTTTAGTTCTGAGTCCTTCAAAGGAGATAAAAGCTCCTCAGACCAACTTAACTGAGTAAAACCTGCTAAAAAAAACGCTTTTACCAGATGCTCAGCCACAGAGTATCTGATTATTATCACAAATGGCAGGAAAAAATGTGGACATTTTAGTTTTACGTGCTTCAACTGAGATCAAACCAGTTTCAACCAGTGAAACCTGCTAAAAAAATGCAGAGTATCTGAAATATTATCAGAAATAGCAGCAAAAAAATGTGCTTCAAAGGAGTTAAAAGCTTCTTAGGGGCTTTTCAGGTCTTACTCCTTTGATTTTCGTAAAGATAAAGATCACTTTGACACATTAGTCCTTTAATCCCTGAAATAATCTCCAGCCGATAGCCCCTAACTGACCCGATATGAGTCCATAAAAACCCCCCGATGAGCTCAGATTTGTGGCCGCTCTTTTATTTTTCAATCACTTCTGCAACTCTGCATCATCCAGCGGTTTTTGCTCAGATGTTTGACCTTTTTTTTACCTGTTAGCACACATCCGCCCCGA